GGGTGAGCGGGGCGATGCGGCAGCGCCGTCCCTCGCGGCTGCCCCACGAGCCCCTTTCCCTCGCAGTTCGTCCTGAAGCACAAGGAGTTCTCCCACCTGCGGGAGGTGAAGGCCTTCCCCAACGCCCTCAACCCGCACAAGGAGGAAGCCCGCGCGCTGGTCAGAGCCATGGTTGACCAAGTCTTGGCACTGCATGAAGATCTGAAGTGGTTTCACATAGGATGTGATGAGGTGGGACATCTCCTGAGGCAGGGGTTTCTGCTGTGAGCAGTGAGGATGAGGGTCTGAGGTTTCCTGTGTGTCCCGAGTGCTCCTCGGGACGCGTTTGGGGGGAGTTTGGGGACAGGCAACATCAGCCAATGTAGAAAAACCTTTTCAAGACTTAATGATTCAATCATTGTAGGATGCCGTTTTTATTGATCTGACTGGTATAAACCCCTGACGCTAAAGGCAGTTGCTTCAAGTCAGCTCAACATTTGATTTTATGTCAAATGAGGACTTAAACTGAGATGTCAATTAGAAACATTCTCAATCACCCAAGTTTTCATATAGGACGTTGGCTTACTGTTCTAGATAGATTTTAAAAGTAAGCTCTTTACAGTGTGTTTTGTCCTTTTTGGTAGTCTCAAGATTTTTCCTTTCTCTAGGTGTCCTAAAGCTCTTACCATGGCATACAGAGCCAGAAATGCCCTTGGCAGTATCGCCATTAGTTCAGCACTAATGATGATAATGACATGGTTAGATGGGGACCTGCCAGCTTCTATAAAGCAAGATATTACCTACATGGAATAAACATGTTTTAGATAAAATGTGCTCTGAAAGAACAAAGAGTTTAAATGCAGACCCATCTTAACATGCCCGAATCCTCTATTTGCCTAGGACTAAGCACTCCTGCTCAGGCTTCCAAATTAGGTATAGATTCATGTACAAATTTGCTTCCACGAGGCAGAAACCTTAATTTATATAATCCAAGACCTCTTGAATAGCTAGAATTCTTGAGCCAAGTAAAATTAGGCAGAGCTGCTCCCTCAAGGGCAACTTTCCAAAGAAGCATCCAGCGTGCCTTAATTTTTCCTTAGATATTTTTGTTCCTATAGGAACATTCCCTTACCTGAATATTCAGTCAGGGCCAGTCTCCCACAACTGACAGAGATGCTTGCAAGGCATCAACGTTGAGAGATGCTCTGAGATAGATTCACCCAGTAGGTCGCATATGGGCAGTGATTCGTGATTTATAATTGTGTGATTCCCTGCCCTGCGTCACACCTGATCCTCTCATTCCTGTTTGAAAAGTCTGGATTATTGGTATTGCAGGTCTACTACCTCGGTGAAGGAGAGGAGTCGAAACAGTGGTTGCAGCAACAAGGGAACACTCCAGAGAAGCTGTGCTTGTCGCACATAAAAGCAATTGCAAGTTATGTGGCCTCATCTTACCCGACTGTGACACCTATTGTGTGGGATGATATGCTGAGAGGAATTAGTGAGGAAGTACTGTCAGGTGTGTGATCAGTGTTGGCGTGAGTGGTTTTTCTTAGCATTCATTAAAGTTTACACAAACATTTGAAACTTTGCTGAAAATATCAAGAAACAAATAAGGGATAGCTGATATATGGCCCATCAGACTCAAAAGCAGAGACACATAGTTAGTCCTTGGCTTTATCACAGACTTTCTTTGCCACCTTGAGCAGGCCATGTGTTTAGTTTTCCAGGTGGCAAAGCCAAGATAAGTCGTCGTGGGGGGATTTTGACATAAATTCTACCTCCTTTGTCTATTAAAGAAAGGAAGAAAGAAAAAAGCAAGAAAAAAACATTTGTGATCTCAGCCTAAGATTCTAGACTTCTCACCAGTTTCTAATGTTAGTTGTTGCAATGTGCAGCAGCAGCAACTACGTTTCAGTGGTGCAGGTTCGCAAGGAAGATCTGTCACCTTGCTGCTTTGACAGCATAGTTGATCACAGTGCACCTCATGAGGGTCTCTCAACACTAAATTGTGGGATAGTTCCATGCTATCCCACATGTTGAAAAACATGCAAGAACTGCTAAAATCTGAGTAGTCCTAGTAAGGTCCAAATAAAGACAGAGTTTCAGCATTTTCAGAGCCACCTTACACATCTGCTCTAAACAGATTTAGACAGTATCATTGCACCTCCTCTAGCAGTGATTTATCTACCCGTATGGCTGTGAGAGTGAGAAATTATCCAAATACTGTAGATAGGACTCATGCAGATTCCCCAAGAAACCGTGAAAATCTCTGTGCACTCTGTTGCCACAGCCAATAACTGACTAAACAGGTTAAAAGAGGATTCAGTTAAAACACTGAATGTCTGCAGTCAAAGTACTCAATTTACAGCAGTTTCCCCAAGGGTGAGTTTCTCTTGTTTAAATCTAGTCAGGCAGTTGGTTGCAAAGGAACTTGAAGCTCAGCCTCTGCCTTCATTTGTACTTTCAAAGCATCTGGAAATACGAAGCTTTGTGCAGACAATCTCTACTTTAAAGGATGATGGTTTCCTTTGATTTTAGCCAAAATTTTGTGTGTAAAATTTGCAGCTCTAGACTCCTTGGTATCAAAGGACTGAGAGCGGGATGGGCTTGAGATGAGGGGGTTCTGGATGAATTACCCCTGCTGGTCCCCAGGGTAGAGGTTTCAAGGGGTCAAAGGACTTGGTAGCCCCAGCAGATGAACTGAATCTGCATCCTGACCAGGCTGAAAGGACATGTGAACACTTCAAATGTAGAAGAGGTCTAGTAACAAACCATACATAATTTTAGGCATGCGTTACTGTGCCATTAATATTTGCGTAGTTCTTACCTTTAACTGGCTGTTTTGCCTGACTTAATTCTGTTCCTTCCAGAGTCTGGGGTCCCACAGCTTGTGGAGCCAATGATATGGGACTATGCAGCAGACCTCGATGTGGAGAGCAAAGGTTTGTATTTCTCAGCAAAGTCGTGTTACCTTTAGAACAAAATAGCCGTAACAAAGTAGTTGTATTAAACCATACTATAGCCAGACATCTCATCTGATTTCACATAGTTTTACTATGTGAATGTTTACGTGTTTGTACTATGAGGGATTTTTATTGTATGCTCCTCATTTATTTGACAGAAGAAGAAGGCTACAGAATTGCTGAAGGAAGAGCATGGGGTTTTCAGAAGCACTGTGGGGTTTTTTTGTTTGTTTGTTTGTTTTTCCTTAACTTACCTCACGTTAAAATCAGTACTAGAATCAGTACTGCTAGGTCTGCACAGAACGATTCTTAAGAATTCTACAAAAGAACCTTCAAGGCTTCATACATACACAGAATTCGAAAGAAGAAGTAAAAACTCCCATGAAAGAACTAGAAGAAACAGCCGGAAACTGAAGCACCAAAAGTTCCACAGGAACTTAAGGAAAAATTTCTTAACAGTGCCAGAGCACTGGAACAGGCTGCCCAGAGAGGTTGTGGAGTCTCTTTCTCTGGAGATCTTCAAACCCGCTTGGATGCAGTCCTGTACCACGTGCTCTAGGTGACCCTGCGTGTGCAGGGGGGTTGGACTAGAGGTCCCTTCCAACCTTTAGCATTCTGTGTTTCTATGAAAAGATGGATCAGCCATCCAATGTATGCAAAGAATTGTTTGTTGAAACATGAACCATTTGTCAGATGTTGCATGTTCTAATCACACACCCACTTTTCATAGAGTTGCAACAATTTAGCAATTCAAAGGAAATAGAATATGGTACCAGGGCATGTGAAAGCAGGAGGGCAATAACAGCACTGAGAGAGGCTTCCAAGGAGGATGTCAACTCTCCGTCCTTGGAGATGCTCAAACTCGACAGGGAAGGGCCTGGTGAACCCTGCTGAAACTGGACCTGCTCTGGCTAGATGATCTCTGGAGCGCCTCTCCAACCTGGGTGGTTCTGTGGTTAACTATCATTTTAAGCTTTCTTTAGAAGTTTCCAGAGTGCCTTGTTTGTTTTGTTTTTAAAGTCTCATCAGTCTCTAATCCTTGGAGAAGAAAAAGAACTGGGTCTATTTTGTATTAGTGGAGAAGGTGGTAGTCTTGTACAGGCTCTGTCCTTTATGACAGCAAATACAAATACAACCCGCTATGAAATACTTTAAGAGAGTCTAATTTCTATGGAGAAGTGAGGGTTGCCTGCCTCTCTTAAAGCTAATATCAGCAAAAATGACCCAGCTGCTCCCATGCTAAGAAGCCTCATGGCTCCCTCTCCAACAGAAGAATTCCAACCTTGGAATTCCTTTAATTGGAGCATTACAGTGCAGGCTGAAAAATGAAAAAAAAAAAAAAAGTAAATGTGCTGTAAGTGTTCTTTTGTGTCTTATTTCAGTGCTTCTCATAGAGAAGTATCGTAGATGTGGCTTCTCCAAGGTGTGGTTTGCTAGCGCTTTCAAAGGAGCTACAGGAGTGAATCAGTCTCTAACTCTTATAGGACATCATTTAAAAAACCACCTTCAGTGGCTGAAGGTGGCAAGTAATAGCCCTTCTGATGTGGTTCAAGGTATTGTGCTGACTGGCTGGCAAAGGTAAGGAACTTTTTTTTTAAATGTTTCCAAGAGCTGCATGAAAGCAATTTTCTGCTAAAAAAAAATAAATAAAACCACTCCAAAACAAGGAAGCAGGAAATTCTCATGAGAACTTTTGCAATGTTGCAGTCTCCCTTGGTGGAGTGTAAATGGTAGATTCCTGAGTTCCATTCCACGCCTGCTGCAGCATTAACCAGCAGGCTCTAACAGTAGTGGATTGGCTTTGAAGACTTCACTGCACTCTGTGCCACCCTGGACTACTTTTAGATGCTGCTACTTCTTTAATCCGCACAAGTTATGTTTCTCTGAATGTTAAGAGTCAGAGAATATGAAGAACAAGGGAAAACACTGCATGAGATATTTAAAAGGTCCAGCTCCGGTGCAGAAGTCCTGTCAGGTGACTGTGCACTAGCTGTAAAGGACCAGAGAATGTAAAAGTAACTCGGACTACACAAACTCTTGCAGCCTGTTGAATCCTTAAGATGAGTATCCAGCAATATTTCTGAGTAGCTCCTTCCAGTACCTAATTATTCCCAAGAAAATGAAAGCCCTAGTTAATGCAATATCTGTCTTATCTGAATGGATTCAAATGTGGATTCAAATAGAATAAAGCACAAGAAGGAAAAGTTTATCAAAGTAAGAAAGGAATAAAAGATTTTTATGCAACAGTCAAGTAGTCTAAAGAAGACCAAAGAACTGGATTCCCATTTCTCCCTGTAATTTGCCTTGAGTTGTTCCCATTAGTAGAACAGGAATGCTAAGCTTTTAAGAAGGCAATTTCTCTCTTCTGAGAGGGAAACTGATGCTTCCAAAGCTGTCTGATTTTTAGTGTTGAAATATTCATGCTTCCTAGTGTGGTAACGTGCTTTAATAGCAAAATATCTAATTTGTTGATGCTGTCTCGTTTAGGTACGATCACTTCTCTGTTTTGTGTGAGCTGTTCCCCGTGGGCATTCCATCGCTGGCTGTTTGCCTGCAGGCGCTGAAGAACGGTACCTGTGGGCAGTTTTATTCTCTCTGAGCTAAAGCCTTGCCAAAGCCCCAAGGGCAGCACAGGCTTGTGGTGAAATTGTTCACCTGGCCTGGATTACGAACAATAAATTGTGCACGTGGCACCACACAGATGGTGGCAGTTGCCCCTTTGCAATAGGGAAAGCCTTGCAGCCTTTGTATTTAAAAATAGCCCTATTATGTATATTGTTATAATGTCTTAACCTGCAATTGGTCACAGGCTTCCTTGTGCTTGTGAAGCTGACTTGAGACTAGTGAGACTAGTCATTTAGATCTTGCTTACTTAGAAAAGTTGTCATTTTACCCCATTTTCTAAAATCTGATAAAGGAGGCAAATATACTGTCTGGTAAATACTCCAGTAGTTCCTGTTTTCTTTACAAGACAACAGCTAATATATATATTGCATTTCTTCTTTTCGGCAGCTTGTTTATTTTTAAACAATGCACAAAAATCCTAAGTACTCAGAACAGAAAGCTGATAGCTAGGAAGTGCTTTAGCTAGCCCAATAATCTGTGAATGATGTTTAAGTTGCCCTCCCCAACTAACCCCTATGTCCTTGCCCCAATACTCCCCATCCAAGCAGATCTTTCCTTAGTCTGCTTCTGCTTTTATTTTGTAAAATTCTTCATCCAGGAAGAAGGACTAGGCCAATACTGAGCACTCTAACCAAAATGCACATGAAGAGTATTTTTTTCTGATTAGGCTCCTTCTATGTACTTCCACTGTCTTCTGCCCAGGTGGCTATTCCGAAAAGGTCAAAGAAAATGTGGAAAAGCTCCTGGGAATGTCTAATCTGGAAGTGGATACTTTCATGAGGTAAAATGCCAGCTGCTCTATTCAAATGCTTTTTATTACATGGTACATTCGGCAACTAATGGATTTTATTTGGACAGCACAAGTTCGGGGACCTTTCCAGGGAGCAACATCCTCACGCTTGTGACACAAATTAGTTTCTACCTCAGATCATCAGTGGATGACCTTCTCGAAAGGAACAGGTAATAAGGCTTCTATTGATTCTCTTGCTGTTTACCAGAGCGCAGGGGTTTTGGTTTCCAGACATGAGCATATACATTAAAATAAATCCAGCAAGGTCTTTTAACCATGAAACTCCCTGTTTCAAGTAGCACATCCCTGTGTGCTGATATCTCAGCAGAACTTAGTGTTTAGGTGCAAATTCAGTAAATTATTTAAACAGAATTCCTAAGCACTATGTGCTTTTTTTTTCAAGAATTAAGTCCGTTGGTAAATTAAGCCTTACTGTGAGCAAAAATGCAAGTTTATTTACTCCTTAAGAATTACTTGTATCAGTGCAGAAGAAGTCGAGCTCTATAACCTTCCTGTCAGCGTACAAAGATTCGTATCACTGCTGATCCGAAAATGTTCATGTTGATATCCGTTTTCAGGTATGTCACAGGCTGGTTCAGTCCTTACCACCGAAAGAGGGAAATAGTGCACCCTATAATAATGCACCACTTTCAGCCAGATGCAATAAGGTACTGCCATTTATTTTGCATTATGGGGGGAATAAAGTTTACCATAATTTAGGTATTCAAGTATGCACAGTTTTGAGTTCTCGCCTCTTTACGGAGTTAATATTTCAGCAGCACCACTGGGAAAAATCAACATTATTAACATAATACATTAAAGAACATTATTGTTCAGTCTTTGTTGGACACTCTTTGTCTAAATTCAGTTGAACAAATTCATAGAATACAAGTACAAAATTGGTCTCTGGAAAGCTTTCCCCTGTAGACAGTTACTCCTATTTAGAAAGTTATTATCCTCAGCATAAGAACACACCATGGGCTAGGTTCTAAGCGGGGCTTATAACAAAGCTCAGATCCCTTTCCCCTGCTCCTAGTCGCTGCATGTGCTCTTCAGAATTTGTCCTAGAGATAACGCTGATTAATGTGGCTAATCTGTATGTTCTGCTGCATAGACTCTAGCAGATGAATTAGGATTTGATTTAAAATTCCTAGCTAGACCCACAGCAGGTTTCAGTTAGCCTTTAAAGAAAAAGTGTGTAGTCTTTTGGATTCATATTTCTGCACATCAAAAACACATAAAAAGTGGTAGGATTCATGGTACCCAGAAACACAACTGCAATCCAAAGCATCAACTTTCTGCTAGCAGCAAAGGGCAGAGTCCTTTAAGAGGCAGCAATAGAGGCTTCTTTTCTTGCACAGCGGTTTTGGGGGGCCATGCTCCCTTCAAGCTGCCCCATGGCTAGTCCTGCTTGCGGGTGCAGCCATTGGCAACACGCTCGGTGCCTTGTGTGCTGGGGAGCTGCTCATTTCTTCCTTCTGGTTTTTGCTCAGTCTTCTATCCAAGTGGAATGCAGTGGTGCAAGATCTCCAAGCAGCCATGGAGCAAGTTTTCCACAAGTGCACTATAGAGGAGTGGATGGAGGAGAATGTGCACCCCAGCCTACAAAAGCTGCAACAACTGGTGGATGATTTAGATAAAGCAATAAAAGCTCAAGTTTAGGAGTGTTCTAATTGCAGCCTGTCTTACTCTTTTGGGAACTGAGCTACTGACAAACTTTGTTTAGCTGCAGGTTTCCATCCTAAGAGTTGAAGCAACAACAGTCATTCAACGGAGGTGATCTGAAAGTATAAGAGAATGTTAATGTAGTAGTCTTCAAATGTATTTTTACCTCCTTTAACACTGAGTCTTAAATCACCTGCCCTGTAAGTAATCTGATTTGGTCCGCTATGTAACAGCAAGCAGGAGGGAGGCCGAGCTTGTGGCAATATGCATTTTCTTATGTAACCATGACTGAGAAACTCCAAAACTTCTGGTCAGTAGCATGTTCTCTCCTTGCAACTTCTGCAAGAGTTACAGAGATTTAGAGTATATACAAGCTATATGCTCTAGGCTTTTAATCCTGTTCTGTGCTGTGACTCGCATCTCTGCATTCAGCGCTGTGTCCTGTCCCGGAGCAGCACATAGCAGTGGACTTGTTCCAGATCAGACCTCTTCCAATTTTGAAATCTATAAACCACTCCTAAACCCACCTTTGATTAGCTTCAGAGGGGGAGATGAACATCCTTGCTCAAATGTCTTCAAAAAGACAGAATTGCTGCATGGCTGCTCGCTGCATTAGCGCAGGTACAGCAGTGAGGATGGGCTCCAGCACAGTCGCTGCGTGACGGAGCTCCAGAAAAGGAGCGTTGCCAAGAGTCAAGAGGACTTTAAGGAAGATCTGCCTTCCCACGCTGGTCATCTTCCTGGTTCGCTAAGCTTAAGCCAAGCAGAGTTTCATGCCCACAGAAAAGCACCCTCCAACAGACTTAAGGGTGATTTAGCTAAGCAAAAATCTGACAGGAGCTACAGCTTCTTCTATCTTTGAAGCAAATCTAAAATGTACTGAATTTCAAGGAAAAATGCTAAGTTTCATTCTGCTTTTATGCTGAACTCTTAATAATGTATAGCAGTACCATTCAGACAATCAGTGCAAGGGTAAATAAGTCTCGTCTGTTTTGTCTGTCTTGCTTTGTCGAAAGCCTGTTTAAGAAGTACTCCTAGGGACTTTTTTAAAAATAGTATCTTTTAACATACTTTTTTCAGTACTACTCAAAGTACAAGAAGTGCAGAATAAGACAAAAATTTAACTGCTGTTATATGAAAAAGCTAACTCCCTGTGCAGATTTGTAATTTTAAAAAAAAGATTGCTGTGTATATTCTAAAATCACATACCTTGGGAGTACATAGTTCGCATACCTTGAACTAAACAAGCTCTTTTAGATTTATTATGGTAAAATAAACTAAATCCTTTGATATTCAAAACATAGTATCTTTCTGAAACTTGTGCTTGTTTTGCATGTGGCTTATCAGTTTAGTTGAAAGTAGGAAAAATGCTTTAAGGATATTTGCTAGTGATGAGTCAGTAGCTCAAATGAAAACAAGACAACTCTGACTTCTGCAGAAGAGGGAAAGGGAAGTCAGCAAGAGGTTGGTGTTTGGGCTCCCTTCCTTCTGGCCTCACCCCCAATAACTTGTTCACGAAATAGGTCTGCACCCAGGGGTAGTTTAGACGAGCATCAGGACTTGTATACGCTTTAACAAGAACTAAGTATAAAAAAGAGCATACAATGACACAGAAGAAGCTGTCAACGTGGATTTTATTGATAGTCTTTTTTTAAAAAATAATATAAGGCATTTCTAAAATTCTACTTGCAATAAAAGTAGAAAAGTAATTTCTAAACAAACTTTTCCAGAAGTCTTTTTGCTTCTGAGCAATCCACTACAGTGTCAGAACTAGTGCTCATCACTTAGTACATAAGTCAGCTTGAGTTTCAGCATCTATGTAGCTTCATAAATACAGCACGGAAGTCAGATCTCAGCTATATGGTATAAATACTTTGGTTTACCTTGAGATTTACACAGTTGATGTGAGTTACTGAAACATTTCATTTTGGGAAACAAGAGAACCTTGCATTAGGGCTTAGATTATGCAGCTTTCTCCTCTTACACAATATTCGGTCTAACTTCTTTTCAGTATGAGAACTAAAACCATCATCACATATGTGTAAATAACTTCTCATGTGCCCAGAGGTTTATGAAGTTGATTGAATGTTGCCAAATGATACTCATGATACAGTTGTAAAAGCCATAATGGAAGATTTGTTTTGAGGTTGGTTGTAAAGGTTTTCAAGTCATATTCATATTTCAAGTCATACAAACAACTGCAGCTGTCCACACTTAGGTTATTAGACAGCCCAAGAGGTGAAGAGCTAAGCAAATATCTTTCTAAAAATACCTAATTTCTTAGCCAAAACTAGTCTGTTATTCATCATTCATTTTAGTGCAAGCCACTCTACATCAGGTGCCCCAAAGACTACATTTCCTGGGCATTTTCGTATGCTAGGCCTAAAGGAAGTGGGGAAAAACATCACTGCTCAAAAATACCTTGAGCAAAACAGTGAAAAGGGACAAGAAAAGAGGACCTGAAAGAGGCTGAATGGAAAGAGGTAGGAAAAGAAGCAAAGAGCTCTTACAGAGCACCGAGGAGCCTGCAGACACCCGCAGGGTCATTTTTCACACATGTGGTTGCTGTAGAACACTAGACTCCAACTACAGGAGACAACAACAGGCTAAGGCAGAAAGCTCAAAACCTGGGTCAGGAGAAACGGCGTGGAACTGGGATACAGCTGCACATGGGGCACCCAAGTGCCGGTTCCACGCAGTTCTGTGCCCACCTTGAGGCTGCTGGCACCCTCATACAAGCTCCTTCCACAGAACTCAGATTCTCACTTGAACTAATTCTAGTTTTTATGGCCACAGAGCCCCCAGGTGCAAAATGGGACAGTACGAGAGAGGATTGCACCTGCTGGTCTAAGTGCAAGGCTGATTTCAAATATTCTCTTGCACACATGGTGCGTTCCCACCCATCACCAGTGGAAAATCTGCTATGTCTTGACAGGGTGAGAGGCACTGTGTACTATCCCAGGGGAGCTGATCCTACCTTTGACATCAATTCACTTATTCCATAGAAAGGATTTCAGACTATGTTGCATCTTAGCACAGGTCACTTCACTTTCTCACAATTATGAATCTTATTTACATTTCTGTTTCAGTCTTTTTACGATTGTATTTAACCATATATCAGAAGTATGGACATTACTAACGAATCAGGAACGTACAGCAAGTTGGATGCACACAAAGAAGCTCAGCAGAAAAAGGGAGGATGGAGCAATGTAGGGTAAGGTCAAAAGGGCATTTTTTTTTTAATGGGAAAACCACACCACAGTCTGTAGCTTCCATGTGGTGTTAGTTTTCGTGGAAATACAGAAACAGACAGGTAGAGCCAAGACCAAGAGCAAGGAGTTTTATTTGTGTTTTATTGATTTATGGTCAAATCCTTGGTCTCGGAATTTCTGAGTACCTTGAATATCCATACTGTGTCCTTCCTCTAAATATCCTTGCTACTAAGAAGAAAGCATCTGGTTGATATCTTGGATAAAGGAATGATGAAGTTTTAGTTCTAGACAAAACGTACTGACTAACAGAGGTAGTTTTACTTATTTAAACTATATTTGTCTTGGAAAAAAATGTATTATTTTTAATTGTTTGTAAAACCGTAGGGTGGAATGGAGGATGCTACACGCATCTGGAGTAATACCTGGACACGAGTCCGACATTGGAACTATCCCAGCTATCTTAACAAATAAGAAATTTCTATTTATCACTTCAGTATCATCTACATCAGGAAATACTAAACACATTGAGGTCTAAACAGACCGTTAACATGGTAAATGTTCACGTGCAGACTGAGGCTGTTCCGTTTCGGGGTAGCCTATGCCCAGAAGCTGAGCAGGGCAGGACTGAAACAGAACGTGTCAAAGCTGCTCAATATGCAGATGTTCATTTTTCATTTATTATTTATGGCTCCTTGGAAAGCCCAGGAGAAATAAGAGCACAGAATGGATTGAGCAACCTGATACTGAAATTTCCTGACAGTCACTTTCAAACTTTGATTTCCAATGGTCTCTAATAGCAAGTCAGTAGTAAAGAATATCACAAAGGTGCCATTATCTTGCGTCACCTTATTGCATATATTAAACTGCTTAAAACCAAGGTAGCACTAAATTCATTCATTTATATTATTTCAAAGAAGGAAAAAAAAAAAAAAGAGCATTGCATTGCAAGTTACAAGTTCAGCTCTTGTACATTTCACATACGGTACCTGCAGCGGATGCTTGCAATAGCTGGAAGTTTCAATGTGCATCTCCACCTCATCGATGGGAAAGCAATAGATGACTTGGAAGCCATTCAGTGCTGAAGTGTCTCCCAGATGAGCTGACGAAGTTCAGAGGTCAGCACTGTCCACAGCCACGTGCTAAGGCAGAGGAGCAAATCAGAGTTGACTCTGGACTACGAAGGCCACGTTTGGAGTGGAGGGGGTGCATGGACGTCTGAGGCAGTTCAACACAAAGAGGTGCCTCAAGACAGGTTCTTCCTGATGTAAAGACATATATAGAGAAAATGCACAAGATGACGAGGGATTTTTCTTCTGAAGGCAAGCAGTATGTTTTCTATATGTGTGAAGGCTTCCACTTTCTTCAGTTGACGATGACTGTTAATAATTATCCCCTGGCTCATCAGCATCGCTTGCCTCAGTTTCGCTGCTCTGAGAGAGCTCGTGTTGGCTCTCTACTCTGTCCAGCTCCAGAAAACTGGTGATGAGTTTGGCAATTGCTTCCACATCACTGTGGAAGGAATAAACAATGTAAGAATTAGTGGTGTTGTGCTGACAGGACAAAAACAGGCAAACTATATTCCTTGTGAATACATTTGTTTGAAGGGCCAAGGCACTAAGCAAAGGTATGTCAAGTCACGCAATTACATTCCTAACAGAACAAGATGGAATCTTTTTCTAACAGTCTCTTGTGCAAAGTTCCTTATGTGACCTGCCCTTTTTATCATCAGTACTTAAAAAATAAAATAAATCTCAACTAACTGATAGCTTTTGCAAAACAGAATGGAATTGGCCCTGTCTGCACTGCACAGCTGAGTGGGTGAAGCCACCAACAGCAGACGAGGTTCCTGCAGCTCCAGCCCCAAAGCAGCCAGGGCTGCAATCGCTGGGACTCTCCGTGCAGGGACAGACGCTCTGATCAGCTCTCCTGGCTGAAGACTCAGGTGACAACAGTCCCTTCCCCTGCAGCTTGTCACTACGTTCTCTTCTGCAGCACGTCCTTCCTTGAGAGCTGCTCACAGAAACACACCTGAGGACGTCAGGGAAAACACCCTCAGACACATGGATATTCTATTAACGTTGTTCAGGAACATATCTTTGGCCAGCAGCTCCGTTTGTTTGGAGCCACTTAGTTTGCAGCCCAACTGGTGTGGAAACTCCCATTAGGGAGGTGTTGAGGACTGGCTAAGGGCAGTCAGATCATGGACCTAGGTCTGAAAGGAGACATCTAGCTCTGCCTAGAGGTGCTTAAGAACAAGGGCTGCTATTGCCACTGTGTTTGTAACCCCCTTCCTGCTCTGCTCAGCCCTCATTTAACATGGAGTTTTGCTCTCAAATCCTCCACGGCGTTCCAGCAGCTGCTGCAGTGCCCAGAGTTGGTACCCTGTGGGTGCTCAGCATATTGTCATTTCATGTGTTCACTTTTTGACTCAGACTGACTACAACTCAGAGGCTAGTTACATCTTTAAAATGCAACTCAAAGTCAGTAATAGCAAAAATAAGAACCACTGCAGTGGCACAGGCTGCCAGGGCAGCGGTGGAGTCCCCGTCCCTGGCAGTGTTAAGAACCGTGCAGGTGAGGCGCTCGGGGGGACAGTTTAGCAGGATGGGGTGGAAGGGTTTACAGTTGGACTCGATGATCTTGAAGGTAGTTTCCAACTATAATTATTCTGAGATTCTATGATTGCAACTGAATTAGAGCAAATGCTGGTTTAAAGGAGTCTTAGATCTCTAAGTATCAGTCTCCTGATGAAAACTGGATTAGGCACAAACACAGTGCATGAGAGATGCACGCATGAGAGATTAAAAAGATAAACAGAATAACACAAGGAGTTATATCAGCAAGAGGAGAAATGGAGCTAAGATTATTCTCCCAATAATTGGCAATTACTGACTCGTATATGATCGTTATTTCCTACCCTACATATCACAATTAAAAAAAAAAAAAAAAGTCCTCACAGCACCTCCTGCAGCCCAGCACTGCACTCTGAGTCAGCGGGTGTGAAAAGCCAGTGATAAATCGCAGCACGACCAGGTAGCCCTTCCCAAAGTAGCGCACAGGCTCCTCTTCCACATTCACATCTCGCACCTCGTGCAGCAGAGCCACAACTGGGAACAGACACGAAGCAGAGGAGACATCGTGAGCGGTAGAGCAAGTCCTCAGCACTATCCCTGCCTCCCAACCATGTTGTCTTCAATGGACATTAGCATTTAATGTGCTTTATTTGTGGAACAATCAAGAGGACTCATTTTTTAAACCTTACACAAGCATTCTACTGGTGCACTTTTTTCTGGAGCATAATATAATTTTATATCAATGCTTAAAACTAAAGCTAAAGCTATCTTGGAGATGAACAAACCCGACCGATTAGTAAAGAACATAACGCAGAAGGCAAAACAGCAACCAGAGAGTCACTTGGTGATTTAGAACTGCAGCTGTGCAAGGTTTGTAACAGTGCACCATGGGGTGTGTTTTAGAAATAGGCTTATTGCAAGCAGCTCTCTCCAACGCAGACTCCGGGATCGGGAATATACCACACCCTCTTCTCAAGCATAAGGAAACCTTGACCCAGTTTCCCTGTTTTTGATTTGTAATGCAAAAGGTTATGAAAAACAGCCCTGTGTAGCAAGGTGGACAATCCACTCTTGTACTTTTCAGGACTTTGTTCAACGTCAAAAATCAGACTGCACCTCTCCACAACAGCAACAATCAGGCCACGAAAAAGATAGTTTGGGTCTTCATTTCCCTCCTTCACCTCATCTTTTCTAGAATTTGAGACAGCAACTGCACTGGGTGAAGGGGTAAGTTCCATTCAGGAATGGAGCTTTTGGTTCAGGTTCCCTCACTGAGAGGGGCTTTGACAGCCCGGAGAAGGGGGCAGACGGGAATCTCAGGAAGGTCAAAGGAAAAGCGCGCAGGAAGGCTTGACGTCGTGTCCCTGTGCGGGCCGCAGGCTCACCAGCTGGAGGGCAGCTCTGAACAAAGGCTCCCTGTGAACACGATTCACTCAGCAGCACAGGCTGAAAGGACACTGGGGTCGTGCAAAGCAGATGATGCCCAAGCTGCTGCCTGGGAGTGAAGCAAGTGAAAATGGATGTGACTGATCCGAGTGCAGAACATCTTAGCAAATGGGCACCTAAGCAAGCAATTCTTCTGCCTTCCCAGCACACAGGGTTGCTGTTACGTGCATTGCTTTCTCACCTTGCTCGTGGCCTCCTTTTGAGAAGGTCAGTATTTTTTTGTAAAGACTGAATGTTTTTAGGCAGATGGTTCCCTTGTTCTTATCAAATATAGCTTCCTGTAAAATTTTAAAAAAAGTCTTTTTTAAACACCATCAACTGCACGCTTCAAAAGACAAAATAAGTCAATAATACATGAAAATAATCCTGATGATAACACAAAACAATCAACTATTTCAATTAGAGACATTCCTCTCCTATTACTGGAGAGTGAAAGCTGTTCACTTTAACAGAGGCTTTACCTTATCTCCTTAGACACAAGTTAAAGCTTGTTTCACTCTTGATGCAATAAAAAAGCCTGGAACAAGCCCTGAACACTGACCTTCCCCTAACCAGCCCCTCCAAGATGCCGGTTTCGTGCTGCACGGGACAGGCTTACACGAGATATAAAATAACCCGGGGCAGTGGTGAGAACAGGAAGCCACACGTGTGGGTGCTTATCTTAATAACCACCGAGGTCAGTAGCACAACAGGGCTGCCCTTTCCCCAAGCTGAGCATCTTACCTCCCACTGCTCCAGATTCTGCACTGCCACAAAGAGACATCCAGCCATATAGAAGAGTTTCCAGGCCAAGCTGTCTGAATAATGCAAATGCAAAAGGTGAGAGGGTTTGGGTTTTTGTTTTTCTTGGGCGGGGGGGAGCAAAATAACTGCTTGATATTCAAGCAGTTATTTTCAAAAGCTACATATTCCCTCTTAAGGCAACAAAAAGAAAAACTGGTTTCTCTGACACAACATTTTGTCTATAATTGTAATTCAAGCTATTTTCCTGTGCTTTTATAGCTTCGAAAAAAGGGAAAATACTTATTTTTCAGATTCCATATACATGGGTCTCCAAACCACACACAATTATAAGCATGTTTATTACTGGCAATATTAAAACACCATTACACATCCTCCTTTCTTCCCTAAAAAGCAAAGGCATCTTAAAAGGCATCTGGAAAACATGCCCTCAACCTACCATCCACCACAAAATACTTCTGCAGCAGGAGAAAAGGGTGAGGGACAATGGAAAGCAAGTCACCAAAACAAACACCTTTCTCCAAAAAAGAAACATTTGGCCCTGTTGACAAACAAACATTCATATTTTACATCCTGGAAATGTTTACACAGGACAGTCTCTCTTAACCAATGGTACAGGAGACTGGACAAAGTAATTTGCTTACTCAGTCTTCTAGGCAGAGCAGAGCAGAACAAGGCTCAGCATTGAGACATCTTTGCAACAACATCCTAAAAAGCAACAACACATCTGCTGATACACCGCTTGTCTCGAGCATCTTTCATTGGATGCTGCTCTTAAAATAAAAATATATTGCTTCAAATGATAGCTTAACCTTACATGGTATTAAGCTTTGGGATTTGAGGCACAACAAGACACAGGAAAATTGCAAAATGGCCTGGAAAAAAAATCCCATCCATTGAGAGGGAAGGACAGCTGCCACTTGGTGCCAGCTGCTCAGTTTTGCGAAAGAGGAGCAGTATCAGCTCTCTGTTCCTCAAAGATGTTTTTATGAGTAATTTTTGCCAGTGATGGTTTAACATTTTAAGAGAACCAGAGCAGGTTCATCGAAGGCAAAGCAATCGTAATTATGGTGACAGACATAGGTGTTCCCAGGAGGGCCATGAGAACCAGCTAAGGACATTTATAAAAACACATGGAAAGTGCAAAATGCCACAGAGCACTGAATATTGGCCTTAAAAGTACTCCTGCAAATGGAAAGGGAAGCTGAATAAGGACTAGAGAATTAAAGCACGGGTAACTCTTATACAGGCTGCAGTTGTCATTGAATTCAAGTATTTGGGCCACAGGGTGTGAGAGGCACTTTTATACAGGTGATGCAATGCTAGACACAGGCTGCAGAAAGGAGTCAGCTGCACACAGAAGCCATCCCAGCAAGAACAAGTAATTATTCAGAAAATGATAGGCCATTACCTGCACTATAATAAGCAGCAGCCAAACCTATAGAGGCTATTCCTAGAATAAAAGGGGAGAAAATTAGGATGAAAACAGGCAACTCAAACCACTCCAAATTCCTTTATGAAACACATGTGAATATTCAGAAGTCCGTTACTTCTGGAAAAGAGAAGAAACAAATTTGATTCCAACTTTGATCATCCTGACTTCAGAGAAAAATGGCTGGCTGCCTCTTTCATATAATAAGAAATCTCCCATTCTGCAGGGAAAAAAAAAAAAAAAAAGTACAAGGGTGGAGGTCAGAAATAAAAGGCAGTGACAGAACATGGAACAAAGGTTTTGAGCAACTCCTGCTCCCTCCCGTGCAATCATTATGCCATCCTTCCTCTCAAGCCTCAACTTCGAGGGTGGTAACAAAGACTACCAAGATTACTCTTCCCCAAGCTGCTCTGTGGAACTGAAAGGAAATTGCTGCAATAAAACTGCATCAGAAGCTGCCACGGGCTTTCTGCCACTCAAGAGGAAGCCGTGGAAGGGGGCCTGGTGCCGCAGGGTGACCTCTCCATCGCTGACAGTTTGATAAGACTATGTCACCAAAAGCAGCCATAACATTGCCATGCTATTGTCATGTCATCTACTCCACCGAGAAGCAGAATATGCAGTATTTTTCCTACAAGCTCACTCAGGGTGGTCCTAACAAACACCACTCCAGTTCTTTCTTCTGCAGAGGCAGTACGGTTAGCACCTTTCAGAACAGGTCTGTCTGACTTCCTATTTCACATATACACTTACACCCTTCAAAGCTCATTGTCGGACACACGAGAGATCTATCTCCACAGCTGCTTCAGGGCAGTGGCTTTCTAAATGTTTCAATTTTTGAAAACTTGGAGATTTTCCGATGCCAGTACGCCCTTTGCATACTTCACACGTTCATGCAGCTATATGACATATACTTAATTTTCTTCGTCATCTTTCAAGAGTCCCAAAGAAACCTCAATATATGAGTCTCTGAGGCTTTACAGATCAGACTAAAAATTATCAGTCCTACAGCTGAAATGACCACACCGAGGAGGAGAGTTCTGACTCTTTCAGGGGCCATGTTCAAGTTATGATGAGTCCCCATCCTCAAAGGAACCTGTTTCTCTGCATCAGACATAGGCACCTCTTGTTAGAGGCTCTCTCAGGAGCTTATTCTGGAACCAATCCTCTTAAAGCTAGCAATAATCATGGTCTTACCAACAAACAGAGACCAAGATCTGATGCCAGGTGACCTCTTCAGGTGGAGGAGAAGGTTTGTGCGGTGTTCAACCAACATGTACATCTTCATAAGAAGCTCCCAATAGCCCAGACTGAAAATCTTGCTGAACTAAAAAAAAATAAATAAGAATACACATTTAAAGTTATTGTTGATTCCAGTTTTCTCTATTCCTAGCTTTTGTAATGACTTTTGTCATAATTAATCAAATCTTAATATAGACTTCAAAATTGTCCAGTACAGGTGGTGGTCTTAGGAAAAATCGAATAAAACACACAGCCCTGCCCACACGAAGCCACAGGTGTGAAGCCAGCTCCTCTGCCCCCAGGATCATTAAGCAGGTACCCCCGCTACAGACTGCCAGAAGAACAGCACCACTCGACAGGGCATAACATAACATAACATAACCTAACCTAACCTAACATAAAATAAAATCTTAGAGTTTAGCAGCCCCAGGCACATTCTGCTTCCAACAGAACAAAAGTGTGCGATTCTCAGCCCCTTTTCACTTGTCTTGCAGATCTTAGATGCTACCTGACACTCCGGAAGCTCTGCACAAAGCTCCAGGGGATTTTTTCCCAGTTTCATAGAAGAGATTTAGCCCGAATTTAACGTAAATCAAGCACAGACACATTGATGCCAGAGTTCCTCAGCAGCGCACCCCAGAGAAGGCTGAGGAGCGAGGCAAGTCCGCGGATGCCCAGGACGCCGTCCGGCTCCTCCAGACCCGCAGAGTCCTGCCGTGACTCCGGGGTGACAGCCGCAGGGCCAGGCCAGCCCCGGCAGCGCCACAGCGAGCGGAACCCTCCGGCACACGTTTCCATCGGCACCTTGGCCGGGCCAGGCCCGCCCTGCGGACGCTGCTGTCCCCTTGACTTGGGGCGCTGGAGGCTAATGTCGCACTGCCACAGGTGCTCGCAAGATAGGCGCCTCAGAGCATTACATAATTAAATAAATAAACGCACAGAAGTAGCTTCTTAGCAGTACACAGGACGCGCTAAGCCTGCCTTTGGGAGCGCGGGGACGCCAGCGTTTTCCTGGGGCAGGTTTATGGCGACAGGGGAGGGCGGGGTTGGCCTTCATGGGCGGCACCGGCAGCCCGAGGCGCCGGGCCTGGGGCAGCGGCCGCAGAGCCGAGGGGCGCG